ATATATACTGTATCTTCCTTAATTATATAAATTTAAAGCATTTATAAATTTCATTATTACACTGTTTACGTTCATCATTAACATTTTATTTTTATTTTCTCATTCGCCTAGATGCCTACGGAAAAATATTGAAGCTAAATAAAAAAAAAAAAATTCGCCATTTTCTGAGGAACAAGCTATATACCCTATATACGGATTTTAATTACATTTTAATATACATATTTAATAAATTTTTGCTTGTCGTCACATATCATTTATTTGCAAAAATAAGAGGAGCTACTTAAGCGTCTATATATGACAAGCTTGCCTAATTGAAGAATGCTTGCCATCGAGGGGCTCTCTCGGTCTATCGGCGAGGATTAAAGAACTGCTCAAAATAGTAAATTATTACAGTATTTATAATATAGAATTGTATATAAAGTAGTGAAATCATAAAAAAAATCTAAATTCATGAAATTCGACTGCTAAAAAGATTAAATGGAAATAAATTATACAGGAGGCTGCTAACTGTATTATACAATATTATACACAGGAACGCACATCACGTTGGCCCTCTTTCGGCTAGACGCGCCTAGACGGTTGGAAGCGACGATCGAAGAAAAACGGTTAAGCAAGCCAAGGACTTCGTTAACTTCCATTCCTCAGTATTAAAATCCTTCCATTGATGGGCACTGTCTAAAACTTTCTTCCAGCTTATCTCTGAAAAGATTGTAACCTTTTCGTCAGCAGTTGGCTCAACATGAATTACACAGGAGCCAGTGAGCTTCCATGACGGCTTAGGCTCGGACATGACACGTTGTTGTTTGTTGTTATTTCGCGACGTCATCAACGATTACAATACATTCATTATTCATCATCAACTAAACTGCCTTAAAAAAAATAAAATTGGTTCGTGTGGGAATCGAACCCACGACCTTAACAAAAAAATAAATTAATAAAAAAATTTATAAAAAAAAACTTGCCCCGTGTGGGAATCGAACCCTCGATCGCTGAGTTTACTACTCCTGATCCAGCATGACTAAACGGAGGGAGGTAAACCGCGTCCCCTAAACCATAAATGCGATAAACCTAGTACCACACCAAGTACCAGTTAGTCAACTCTGATCCTACTAAAAAAAAATTCTTTGTATATGTACACTTCAGGTTAACATTACGCATGGTCATGGTGTCAAAAATGGGACGTGGGCCAAGAGGGTTTATTTTCTTGTCTAAAAATGTAGAATTAAATTTATAATCGATTTTTGATTGTTACCATCTCCATAACTTACGCAATTTTTTTTTAAATAGACAAAAATGTTTGAAAAATTCATTATGCAAATTAGAAAAAAATAGACTAATCATGTTACGGGCAACCTGGTGGTTGTGTGTTCAATTCCCACATGAACCAATTTTTATTTTTTTAAATTTTTTTTAAGGCAGTTTAGGTGATGGTGGATAATGAATAGCAAACCTGGAGGTTGTGTGTTCGATTCCCACACAAACAATTTTTTTTTTTTTTTTTTGATGGTGGATAATAAATAGTAAAACCTGGTGGTTATGTGTTCGATTTCCATTAAAAAAAATTAAGGCAGTTTAGTTGATGGAAGATAAATAGCAAAACCTGGTGGTTATGTGTTCGATTCCCACACGAACCATTAAAAAACAAATTTTGTTTAAGGCAGTTTAGTTGATAGAGGATATGGTAACAATTATCAAACCTGGTGGTTAAGTGCCAATACTAGCAACGGAAAATATCATGTCGGCCGTTTTTATGTGTGATAACAGAATCTAAATCGAGGTAAGGCAAGGCCTAGCCTAGTGTTGGATAGGTGTTACGGCGCCTACTGTATTTCTTCGCAGGACCATAATACGATAATACGAGAAGCTTTATTGCAATTTTTTATCATAAAACAATAGGCTAAGAAAACACACACAAAAAAGAAGTAATTAAAATTCACCGAAGAGAGAATAAAATAGGATATATTTACATTTTCCTATATAATTTCGAAGCAAAATATGTACAAATCAGCGAATAGGAGTAACAAAAAATTTAAAAAGTTTAGGAAAAGCGTTACCAGGATATTCTCAGTCTACCAATTATTGAAAAGACCACAGTTAATAATAAAACGTTTTGACGTTTCGTATCTAACTTTAGGAAGGTCATAGGCTTTCTTCGAACGCAAGTTGTACTTATTAACTGTTGCAGGCGTGAGTAAGTCGTTTAATTTGTGTTTCGGATTTTTGACTTTATTAAAATATTTTATACTGAGCATTTCACGTCTTTCTTCCAAAGATGATAAGGAAAGTGCAGCGCGCGCTTCTATATGACATTGAAGGGCACATAATTCCGACAGCTCTCCGTTGAATATGTTCATGTTGCGACGACTGATGGACGGAGATACTCGTACCCCAAACCTGACACGCGTATTCAAGCACTGGACGTATAAAGGACGTGAAAAAACGGAGAAGTGCAAGGGTATCGAAACCAGATTTCCTAAGTTGTTTCAAAAAATAGAGGCGCTGGTTACTACGTTTAGTTATAGGCCTATCGTCAATTTGTTTGTTTGTTTGTTTGTTTGTTTATTGTTCATTTTCCACACAATACAACATAATCATGATAAAGCCAATAAATACGTCGTAATGTAATACATAAAAGTAAATTATTTGTGTGGAAGGCGACCAAAATAAGTTCGAGAACTTTAAGTCATGGTCGCCTAAAAATCAGATGGACAAAGTAATTTATAAGTAAATGTGAAAAAGAAAACCGGGCAAACACAAAATAAAAATTAGGGAAAAATTAGAAACAATCTAAACAAGCAAAAATTATTTAAGAAGTCGAAGGAAACAGACATCCCACTTCAGATTTTCAGTTATGTGTATGCCTAACAGCTTAACAGAGCTCAACTTTTCTATAACACTACCATCATCCGTGAGAACAGGTATCACATCTAACTCCTTTCGTTTGGTAGAGATGACTATTTCTTTTGTTTTCTTGTTGTTCAGGCGCATCTGATTTATCGCTGACCACTCATTTATAATAGAAAATGAGTCTTTCATTTTGTCATGTCGGGCACCCGGACCCGGATGGAGTTCTTCCATTACCGTCGTATCGTCCATTAGCCTGGGTTCAAGGCCCTAATTTTAGGTTACTCACTCTTTATTGCACTTAGTGCGCGTCATACCTAATTTAATTGGCTTCCCATACTCGATTTCTTTTTTTTTCGAATTAAGGCCTGGGCAAACGATTCATGCGTGCAATTTCCCACATCAAATTTGATGTGGGATATCGTATGCATGACTGATTTTGTAAATCACGTAACTTCATGCATATTAATCAATCTTGGTAAATTTTCAAAGAAAAGCTCCAGCTCCCTTTTGGCTACCTATTTGAATTAAAACAGTTAGTATTAATAGTTCTGGCCTGCTGAGAACAACATGGACTGATAACCGCAGGCTATAGGCCTACTTGGAACGTACCTTGCTCACCGCTAGCTGCTACACAGATTTAGGCCTTTAGGGTAGAATATTGTTAAAAAGGTAGGCCTCTGTAAGTAAGAACTTAAAAATAGGCCAAGCCTCTACTCTAGGCTAGGCCTACTACCTGACTCCAGGCGAGGCCTGAGCCATCCTACTGGAAAGTTATGTTTTGTTGTATTTGTATGGTATGCCATCTAGTCTAGTCTAATTGTTTTTGCCATTGCCAACATTAGTCTTACTAGGGTTTATTCTAAATATTTTAGGCCCGTTTTATTAGGGAGAACTATTTAAATTTAGTCATGCCTAACTAGTCAACGCGAGTGACTCAGTTTCGTGGCTCCAAAAATATGAACATTTGATTGGTTGAAATTGTTTATTTCGGTCCGCCCATTTATCCAAATACAGAATATAAGATTACGTCATTCTTTTGGCATCCTGGTGCCTGATTTCAGTGTTTTACAAGTCGCTTATTCCGTCTCTAAATTAACTTTCTCGTTGGTGGCGCTGTCCAGAATGAGAAAAATAATAAAAAATAAGAGACTTGAGTCTAATCGTCCATATATATTTAATCAGTTCTAAATCTGTGTCTAGGTCATTGATAATCGCGATAAACAAAACCTGTCGCAAAATCAAATATGAAAAATACATCCGAATTCATTTTTGTGTGGAACACAAAAAATCAAATTTCAGTCTTATTTTACATTTTTTTTCATGCTGAGGAATGTCTAAATTCAGTTAAACTAGCAATTCCGTATTATATTTATAACTGTTTTTAACATTATACAAACATTAGATTTTTCTTAACAACTGAAATTTGGCCGGGAATGGGGCTTTAAGGGATGGAAAAATACGCCACACTTTCCTCCTGTGACGTAATTAGCCTCAGCCAATCACAGACATCGTCTCCATCCATCCAAATCCTTTCTGAACATGTGGAGACAGGGGCGAGAACGCTGAAAACTTTAAAATGTCAATCAGAAATTTGATGTCATTGAGAACAGTAGTGAGCATAGAGCCTCAGCTAAAACGTACCGTAAATTCCATAAACACAGGTAACCAATTTTAAACTTTAAGCCCTAGCTAGAGAGACCTTAAGTCTAGCCTCATCGTACACGTTTAAGTTAGCCTCTAGGCCTAGGTAGGCGGCCAACATATTTATTTGCCGTAGCTAAACTACCTAGGCCTAGGCCCTAGGCCTAAAAAACTAAAAAGAGATTTAAAGTAGGTAGGAAGGTTAGCAATTAGTTCTAGTCGTACTTAGGAAAAATTAGTCATCAGTTCAGTTGTGCATACATTTTGCAAAAAGCAAAGAAGTCTCTCTCACTCAGCACTGTTTAGGCCTAGCAATCAGTGGTCATTGATTTGGTAGGCCTAGGGCCTACTACCTAGCCCTGGCTAAGCCTAGGCTATCTACTGCAGTGCTAGCCACACACCATAATAATAGTAATAATAGATGGATTTATATAGCGCAGATAAACGAGGTCTCTATGCGCTCGGGACAAGATGTTGCACTTTTCAATAACTTTCTCCTCCCCTACCATAATCACAATAATAATAGATAGGGCGAACCCTGTGTTAAAATACTACAATTTTCAAATAACAGCACTGCAGTAGGCCCTAGCTATACAACAAAGAAGCATAATACATAGTGTATAACCTAGCCTAAAAATTAAGGCATGTATTTTGTAACCACAAAGGCCTGTTTACGCTGTGATGATAACGATCAACGATAAAAAGCTAAAAAGCAATTGTTAATATAGAAAATAAGAGATGAGAGAATTTATCACAGTGACACTAGCACGATTCGATAACGATTTATCTTGTATACGATAACAAAATTATTTCACAAATCAAATCAAATGACGTTATAATCAGGAGAAAACGATAAGATCGTTTCTAATCGTTTTCCCATGATTATGATGTCATTTGATTTGTGAAAATACTTTTTTATCGTATACACCATAACTTGTTTTCGTGAGAAAAAAAAAAGCCAGCCTCCCCTCCTTCATCACTTTTCCAGCCTAGATAGGGTGATAAAGTAATAAAAAATGTATAGAGCCTTATATCATCCATAGCCAAAAGATTATTTTAACTTTTTTTATGCTATTTTATTTTAAAAATTGTAATAATAATTGATAATAAAATGGTATTTATATAGCAAAGTATATGCACTTGACACTACGACTTTAATTTTTTTTTTTTTAATTTTTTTTTTAAAGTATGAAATTGCCATATTTTTTAAATAGTTCGGTCTATTAAAATGATTTTCTGTCAAATTGTTCAGAAGACACACATTTATTTTTAATCTAGTACAACTTTTTCCATGGAAACTAATGCTTACTGAGAATTTCTTCAAAATCATGTTTTTAAACAAATGATATGAAAATTCCATATTTCTGAAAAATACAGTTATTAAGCATTGACATGTTTATTGAGATGTTACAGCAATGACCTAGGGCTGGAAATTAACTTTTTTTTCTTGGTAGCTCTGCCAAAACTTTGGTAGCACAAGTAATTTTCTTAGTAGCACATATTTCCCCATCCTTTTCGCATCCCCTAAGATATAAGTGCGGCGCAATATTTTATTCTTTATATTTCCTAACAAACCCCCACCCATCCACACCTACACTGTCCCAATGGATTATTATGCAAGAAAGAAGACATGAAAGAAAAAGAGAAGAGATTTCTAAAAATTGAAAAAAAAAAACAAGAAAAATAATAAATAAGATAACAAAAGGAGTTAAAGAAAAAAAAATAAAGAAGTAAAATGCTGGAAAGAAAATGACAATGAAAAAACTAAAAGAAATGTAAGTATCAAAAATGAAATAAGAAAAAGGATGAAACAATATTAAAAAGAAAATAGATATTAAAGGGATAGTAAAGAAAAATGTGTAAGGTAAAAAATTCAACCTAACTAGAAGGAAAGGGTAAGTATTTCAAGGAAAGTTTCAATTATTAGGAATATTTCTGAGAAAATTACACATTTTTGTGAACTATTAACAGATACAGTCAACTCTCCCAATACCGACCATCCTTCGGACAGTCCACTTTGACCGGTTTTTTACGGACAGACTGGTTTAGAGAACGTCATGTTTACCTACCTTGGTTCCCCGACGTTGAGTTGATAATAAGCCTAGGCCTAGCAAGGTACAGCAGATAGGTACACCACACAGCATCATGTACCGTGTAGGCCTACTGACCTGAGAACGTCATTTAAAGTTCATGTTTTACTTTATTTTTACATTACTTATGTTGTACGTACGTATTTCTTTGTGTCGAAGTCTATTATCAATAAAAATTTACACAAATCAACTTAATGTGTATCGTAATTTATAATAAGTGTCAGTGTTATTTTTCGTTCGGTCGCCAATCTGCTTCGCTTTAACGTGGTTGCACGCTTGATTGGTTTTCGATGCCGCTGGCATGTCACTGAATGCTAAAATAAATGCTAACTTATGCAGCTCCCCCTAAACTGCGTCAGCCAATAGAAAACAGTCAGAGGTGACAGTCAAAGTGTCATGCGCAATTGTTTTTATGAAATCGATAGCCTTATGTTGGGACCGCTTGGTTCGCCTTAGCGTGAGAATGAATGCAAAATGTGAGAAAAGGATACGTTCCTTAATAAAGAAAACACACTCATGAACCTTTTTTTATCAGTTTATTAAACAAATGAAATCTAGGCTTATTGCAATTAACCATAACTCAATGAAATTTTACGAACGATTTTATTTTAATTATGAGAAGCATAATTTATAAATTTATTAAACAAATAAAATCTATTGCAAATGAAAATGAATTTAAAACATAACTTAATTACCGGTACGATCGTATTTTAATTATGAGAAACATAATGAAAACTTATGAATTTATTCTTATAAATTTATTCTAGTAAGGATAACAGCAATGAATGATACGAAAAAATGACGGAGATGCAGAATAAAGGCAAGGATAAAAGAGACAAATTGTTAAACTACTTTTTCACCAGCCATGTTGCACGTAAACATCACAGTAATCCGGTCTTTGGAAGTTTTAATTCCGGTCACATCATCTTGCTTCTCAGCTAGGGTGCGGTCTGGTAGCTGTCTCTTATACACATCTAGATGTGTATAAGAGACAGGCCTTATGTTGGGACCGCTTGGTTCGCCTTAGCGTGAGAATGAATGCAAAATGTAAGAAATGGATACGTTCCTTAATAAAGAAAACACACTCATGAACTTTTTTTTATTAGTTTATTAAACAAATGAAATCTAGGCTTATTGCAATTAACCATAACTCAATGAAATTTTACGAACGATTTTATTTTAATTATGAGAAACATAATTTATAAATTTATTAAACAAATAAAATCTATTGCAAATGAAAATGAATTTTAAACATAACTTAATTACCGGTACGATCGTATTTTAATTATGAGAAACATAATGAAAACTTATGAATTTATTCTTATAAATTTATTCTAAACAAATCAAATCTATTGCGGATGAAAATAAATTAAAAACATAACTTAAGGAAATAATTATTTTAATTATGAGAATCATAATAAAACTTATGAACTTATTTTTACAAATTTATTAAAACAAATAAAATCTATTGCAAACGAAATTAAATTAAAAACATAATCGTGAAAAAGTTATGAACATTTTATAAATTATGAGAAACATACGTAATTTACAACTGTTTTAACCTATAATTAAGTAAACAATTTAAAAACAGCTTAAACTAATCATGGCAAAGACATGAAATATAACGATTACTGTATCTTACTCAACAGTTAACAATTCAATAAAACTTATTTTTTAACATTTTTACAGGTGTTAATTTTAATTAAAATTTTGTCATGTCATTAATTATTTGCTTGTTTATCAAAGCAAACCAGCCGTCCAGTGATGTTTGCTTTGAATTCCTACGTCTAAGTAAAATTACTCTCTCCATGGTTTCTGTTAGATCTTGCAGCTGTCTTTCCATAGTCTGATCTCCTCCTTTCGCTCTAATTCCATTCTTAACCCTACCTAACATGCAAAGCATTTCTGCGTAAGACAGTTGTCTGCCGTCGTCAGAATTTTTATCGTCTATTGGTTCGTCCTCATCAAAAGTTCCCTCGGGCATCACTTCCGGGATGCCGCCACCGTAACTTTCCAAGAGATCAACCTCCCATTCATCTCCAACCTCTTCTACTGAAATCATTTCGTCGATCGTTACATTCACATCCGCGTCAACATCGCTGTCTATCTGTCCAACCAAATCACGGAGTTCTGCTTCCACCTCATCATCAGCATTGTCGGTTGAATTGTCGGCCAAACAGTCGAACCCACAGCGATTGAAGCACTTCGTAATCGTGGTTGCGGTTGTCTTGCGCCACGCGGCTGCCGTCCAATTAACTGCGTCAAGAACGTTGAATTGTTTAGTTACATCAGAAGCTGAATCTGCTGCATCAATTTTCGCAAGAACATTACGCATCAGCTTTGCACGGTAGCGACTCTTGAATGCCTTGATTATGCCCTGGTCTAGCGGTTGAAGGACCGATGTGGTGTTTGCTGGAAGAAATGCAAGTTTCACGTTTGATTTAATAACGTCGACATGAGAAGATGCGTTGTCGAGGAACAGCAATATGTGTCTGCGTTGAAACTTCATCTGACGGTTAAGGTCATTCAGATAATCGTCGAATAGTGCCCCAGTCATCCACGCTTTGCGATTTACTTTCCATACAACAGGCAGTCGATCCTTCTTAATGTTCTTAAAGCATCGTGGGTTTTCGGCTCGGTTAATTACCATAGGTTTAAGCTGAAATGAAAAGAAAAAATAAATACAAGTGTTAAAAAGAAATCACGCATTTATCTTTAATTATGTTGGAGATGATGAACTGATAACGGGGAGTGGTAGCCCTTGACGATTACAATGATGACGATGATGATGATGTCATGATTATGATAATGGTGATGACGGCAGTGAAGATGATAATCAATCTTAGTGTGACAATTATGATCAAAATGAACGAATGAACACATTAAAAACGAATAATCGATGAGAATAACGAACTAAATTTTTTACGACGGTACGTTACGATAACGATGATTGAGGCCTTAACAATCATGATGGTAAGGATAACAGCAATGAATGATACGAAAAAATGACGGAGATGCAGATACAAGTGTTAAAAAGAAATCACGCATTTATCTTTAATTATGTTGGTGATGATGAACTGATAACGGGGAGTGGTAGCCCTTTACGATTACAATGATGATTATGTCATGATGATGGTGATGACGGCAGTGAAGATGATAATCAATCTTAGTGTGACAATTATGATCATAACGAACGAATGAACACATTAAAAACGAATAATCGATGAGAATAACGAACTAAATTTTTTACGACGGTATGTTATGATAACGATGATTGAGGCCTTAACAATCATGATGGTAAGGATAACAGCAATGAATGATACAAAAAAATGACGGAGATGCAGAATAAAGGCAAGGATAAAAGAGACAAATTGTTAAACTACTTTTTCACCAGCCATGTTGCACGTAAACATCACAGTAATCCGGTCTTTGGAAGTTTTAATTCCGGTCACATCATCTTGCTTCTCAGCTAGGGTGCGGTCTGGTAGTGCTCTAAAGTACAGGCCTGTTTCATCGCACTTGAATATGTCGGCATAAATCGGCAATCTTGCTTTTCCATTCAGTTACAATGGTCTGGTGAACATCCCCTCTTTCACCGAATACCGCCACTTGTTTGATTTCGTTTCGTTGTTTCCATTTTGTCAACCATCCAAAGTCGGTTATGTTTAGTTGTTCTGCAAATTGCGTCGACTTTGCTTTTATTAATGGTCCGCTAATCGGGATGTTCTTATCCCTCGCTGTCCGGAACCACACCAACATCAACTGATTCAAATCGCTAAATTTAGTTTTCACAAATCTAAATTTCGCTCCTGTACTTTCTTCTTTTTTGGATTTCCATTTGTCTTTGGCCCTGTAGATGCCATTGACCGTTGATTTCCCCACACCATATTTTTGAGCTACTTCAATTTGTTTCATCCCGCTCTCTATGTCATCGATCAATCAGAGTTTTATTGCTACATCAAGTTCAGTTCGTTTTCGTTTGGTCACCATAATGATAATGATGAAAATTCGCAATGGGGCATGATTTTTAAACTGTTGGATTTCTTTTGATCCATAATTTTAGCGCTGGGCATTCAGATAATGAATTAATAAAAAGAAAAGCCCAAAACATGAATAAAAGAAAAGCCATTATGTATCAAAACATAAGTCAATAAAACAAAGACACAAGTTTAAACAAAGCACTTTATTAAAAACAAAAATCCAAGTCTGTTTGATTTTTCTCTTTATTTTAATCAATGAAAACCGGCCTAAATAGAAGACGGTTAAAACAATGAACTTTTAAATGCACTATCGGCGTGTCACACGATTAATGCGCTATCGGCGTTTCACACGATCAACGCTAACGATCGTACACGTGATGTTGTTCTGTGATTGATAGTTGTTGTTTGGAGTCAGTCGATGTGTCTCCGATGATTTCGTTTGGTCACCATAATGATAATGATGAAAATTCGCAATGGGGCATGATTTTTAAACTGTTGGATTTCTTTTGATCCATAATTTTAGCGCTGGGCATTCAGATAATGAATTAATAAAAAGAAAAGCCCAAAACATGAATAAAAGAAAAGCCATTATGTATCAAAACATAAGTCAATAAAACAAAGACACAAGTTTAAACAAAGCACTTTATTAAAAACAAAAAGCCAAGTCTGTTTGATTTTTCTCTTTATTTTAATCAATGAAAACTGGCCTTAATAGAAGACGGTTAAAACAATGAACTTTTAAATGCACTATCGGCGTGTCACACGATTAATGCGCTATCGGCGTTTCACACGATCAACGCTAACGATCATACACGTGGTGTTGTTCTGTGATTGATAGTTGTTGTTTGGAGTCAGTCGATGTGTCTCCGATGATATATTTAACATATTTTGTCAATAAATCATCGTTTTAAACTGGCCGTCCGGTTTTCAGAAGGTAATTTTATTGTTCCGGACTTAAGAATTTGGCCGGAATTCGGAATTGGGAGATACGGTTTTCAGAAAGTGTTTTAATACAGTAAGAATAGGAATGATTTTGGGACTTTAAAAAACGACCGGTTTTGCGTGAAATCCGGTTTTCTGGGTGGTCGGTATTGGGAGAGTTGACTGTATACACAATATAAAAAAGAAAAACATGAGCAGTAATAATGTGCTAGCTAAACTGTCTAGTCAATGGACTGCCAAAATCTGCAGTTACTTAAGTGGATTGATATATTGATTATAAAATTATTAATTATTATTACTGAAACATTAATTATATTTTCTGTACACTTCCTTTAAATTTTTCAGTATTTTTTTTCATTTGTCCAGGAATCGCATTAACACTGCGAATGCCTATACATTGGTTACAATAGCTACCGGCAACATTTGCGCGGAAATTGGTAGACTTATTTTGAATATGCGTGGATGGAATTTTGTCTTTATGAGATAACTCTAAATCAATTTACACATAATAATTTCAACCTAAACAGTGTTCCAGAGTTTTCACCAACATTTTGGGAGTGCTGAGATTCCAGCTCCCTCCCCACTTGTCAAAGGCCATTTAGGCTTCGTTTTAAGCTCGAAAAATTGGCATCACACAGCCGGCCGGCGACACTTATTAGGTTATAATGTAGCCTAGAACATTAGCCTGGCCCTGTACAACTTCAGCAAAGTATCTTATACCTACATATTTAACGATCTATAGTTTCATTTTCTTGTTCAATGGTTGTTTTTCTTGAGAACTGGTACGCCTTCCAACTTCGAAACTTCAGTATTTATCGCCAGAGAACATCGTCACACGTTCTAGCGTTTACAAAGGTTTCGCGGAGTAAAATATCCCAAACATTGCAAGTTGCCCTGAATGATGTAATATCCCAGCATTCTGATAGGTTTACAACTTGCAATGGACTCAACTTACCTTACTCGCCAGCCGGTGTATTCGGGCACACACGTTTGGGTTTGGGATGTTACTCCGCAAAATATAGTTTCGTAATTGGAATGCCTACTACCAGTTAGTTCGGTTTAACTGATGTTGTTTTTGTTGTTACGTTTTTGTTTTTTTTTGTCAAAACAAGAAACATTCTTTGTAGAATTATATATCTTTTTATATATCTTATAGATTAACTTAACCAATTAATGTAATTGTTGCACTTTATTAATTCCATGTTTAAAATTTAATCTTTAAATATCATTTATATACAATTCAATTTTTATATTATTTCAAAACACGAATAAACAATCATTTTGCTTACTTTCTGTTGATACTTTGTTAAGAACAAAATAAATTGTTTGATAGAGGCCCATTACTAGTTGCCTATGAAATAACAATGCTTACCATCTACTACATTCACCGAGACACCGAGGTTACCAGACAGACAAAAAGTCATTTGATTTTTTTTGTACGCCGCAGATACGAACAAAAGTAGGTCAGAAGCCGACAGGCTCGTTCAGTAAATAAATGGTACTAAAGGAGTTGCTTTCTACATTATTTCGTTTAATTAGGTTTTAAAATTTGGTGTGAGACCTATTTGTTTGTTTGTTTTTTTGTAAATTTCAAGATGTTGCTCATTGAGATGCATGTTGTTAAACTATAGCTGCTCCGTGAAGTCTGGGTGAGGTCATCATCCAAGAGTATTTACACCCTTTGTTATCATCAGCCATGTGATTAAAGAAGCGTAATCATAATTCATAATGTATGAGGTTTAGGTAATTCGTTTGGTTTCCAATAAAAGATGTCTGCCTTAATACCGGTAGTACAGTACTTTGATTATAATCATCCAGATGATGCCTAATTGTACTTATTTACGATTTATTTAGTGTTAAATTTTGGTTATTGCTTGATGCTGGGCAGTTTACATCGTATGAGTCAATACTGTATACAATCGTTTGAAATTTCGGTACATAGTCTATTTTATGAACAAATACGTTAAGGAAACGTTCACAATTACGAGGAGGTACAGGTAGAGTAGCACTCAATAAAATAGTAAAAAATCATGCAATCCGATGTTTTTATACCAGTCTCCTTCGCTTTGACGGAGATCGCTTATTTACCAAGAATAAGATGAGCGCACATCGACACGGTGTTAGTGTACGACGTCACACTTTAGCAGTCTAGGTCATGCTGATTGGTTGATACAGTACATGTAAAATGAATGATAGCATGTTTTGCATACTGCCTGACTGAAAATAATGGGCTGTACAAGTTGTAAATAATTGGGATTTGGAGGGAAACACCACCTTCCTGCCGCTTACAAAATCTACTCGCGCTATGAAATGACCTTGTCGCACCTTAAAAAATCAGGTCGCACATGCGACCAAATAACCCTTACTTTCCAGCACTGTGACCTTTGGCATAGTGGTAGAACACATTGTGGGGTATAAAATCCCAATTACTGGAAATATGGCTTGACCTCTCTGACCTTTGACCTTAATGTTTATGTTTTTTATTGAAAAAAACATGAAATTTATAATTTCTGTAATACTTTGGTCTATTGAAATACTTTTGGCATCAATTTATTTGCTCTATTACAAATTTTGCATTACTACCTATGCTTAACTGAGAATTTCTTTAAAATCATGTTTTTGGGCAAATTAAATATATGAAAAAGCCATATTTCTGCAAAGTACAGTTTGTTAGATCAGATATTTAGGTCTTGACATCCCCATTGTCAGTCATCACCATCATTTTCATTCTCTAATTCTCGGTAAGCAAAAACATGATATTTAGGTAAAATCTCAATAAGCATTGGATTTCATGCAAAATGTTGTATTAGAGCAAATATTGTATGTGTTCTGAACAATTGACTCAAAAATCATTTCAATAGACTAAAGTATTACAGAGATATTGGCAATTTCAGTTCAATGAAAATCATAAAAATTTAAGTCAGAAGTCACAGAGGTCAAATCAGATTTCCAGTAACTTCGATTTAGTACCCCCACATCATGTTCTTTCTACCATCATGCCAAAGGGCAAATTTGTATCCGCTACTGTAACATTGTGTGACCTGAGGGTCTGGACTATTTATTATTATTATTATTATTGTTATTATTATTATTGTTCTTATTATTATTTCTTTAAATAATCTTTGATCATGTCGTAACAAATACATTTTTATTTTTAGTTGTACGAACAATGAGTTCTTTTCCTAAATCACAAGATATGCAAAATGGAAATGGTAAGCCAAATTTCTAGCTATCTAGATCGTTGTATCAATATAATATATTGTAAAACCAAATTAGATTTGTAGCCTAAAGTTTTCTCTTTAAATTTATAAAATCTATTTTTTTTTAGAAGTAAATGGCATTCATAGAGAGAACCTGCCAGCAGATCAACAGTTCTTCTGCAAAGCATTTGAATTAGTCTTCAAAGAAGGAGTTCTTGATGCCACAAAACGAGATGCTAAAGGTAATTAAAACATATTAATGTGCTATATATTCTCACATAGCCAAGCTCATCAAGGTTGATTAAAATCTCTACTCCTGTAATTAAAGGCAGAGTCAGTGCAGTGACTAGGCCAGGCATAGCTAATAATAATAAATTTAAATGGTAGAGTAAAAAAAGTATTTCAGGTAAGCTTATCCTGAATATTTCACAGCAGATATGATAGCCCCTTGAGCAAAGGTTGGAAAAGTTTCAGGTGGTACACAAAGGTCGCTGGTATGATTCCCTCAATAGTCTCTTCATCTGAAAATTATGTAATGATATATATAAAGCAATGCCGGGAGAACCAATTGTAACCAGCAGCTGTGAAGATGATACGGTCTGTGATATGCAAATTTATTAAATAATTTATTTGCTTAGTTTGCAGTGAAATTTAATTTTCAATTTTATTGCCAATTAACAGACCTACAATTAATATAGAGTTCCTATATTCTTTATAGACCATTACATTGATTGGTAATAAAATTATTTTTATAGTAAAAAGTCTGTAAAATTAAGGCCAAGTAAAAAAAATTACTGGTTTCTCGTCCCCTTGTGCTTCCATTGTCTCTGCCTCACCATTTTTAAAGCTTTCTGTGTGTCTACTTGGCAAAAGTGAGACAGTAGTAGCTATTTTCCTAGACTGGGGTCCAGTCCCTAATCTTTGTTTTTAAATCGATTTTGGCACCAATGGCGTTCCATATTACATATTTGCTTGGCGTTTCATAGTATACTTTTTCTTAAAAGTTTCTCAATATATACCGTCGCTGGTGGCGCTCTCCAAAATTAGCTAATACTAGGAAAACCTATAATTAGAGACTTGTGCAAGTCTACTATTTTCCATTAACCATCTTGGATTTGCTGTTTTATTTTTTTTTTAATATTAGAACGAGAAACTACTTTTTTTTTAAATTGGCCTAATTGATTTTTTTTTTGTTTCATGACACTATGTAAGTCATTAGTCCTACTTTCAGTCTCATAGAATGTTGCTGCTGAAAGTCATCTTAAATGATGTTTTATTTGAATTCAGTTTTAATTTACATAAAGAATAATTTCATCTACAAATATTCAAATAAAAGAAAAGTGCACAGATAACATAGGATAATCCAAAGATCCGTAGGAACTATTGTTTGCATATCACTGGGATCACTGGGGTATTAGGAAAAGGTTGTTGAGAGGGGGTTTATTTTTAAATTCAAATATTCAACTTTTAAATTAATTGCTATTGATAGATACTTCCTTTGACCTTTATAGTGATGGAAAATTACCACAGCTCTGCAGATTAAAGTGACTTTAGTAAAGGATCATTCCTATTGTAATGTGCATTTCACGCTTGGATGACTACCTTGTTAAACAGACAGATGGAAAGTATTTTTCTCCACATTTTGGACTATATTATATATCTGTGTGCAATATTCTGAGACCAATAAATTTAATTACACTTGTGTTGCTTATAAGGCCAAAAAATAACTTGCTTAGCATCACCACCCCCACCTAAATTTTCAATCCAAAATAAAAAATTTAGAGGTGGGAATTTTTTCTATATTAAAAAAAAATTAAATATTGTCCATGAAATGCTAATCAAAATCTGTACATTGTAAGTGAATTAAAACCATGATTTCACCAACGAGGTGTAATATTTATTGTAGGCTAGTTTGGTTGTTGAAAATGATTAATTTTAAAATGCCATTGAAATAAGTCTGTTCGACTTAGATAAAATTTGACTTACAGATTGTTAATGGAAAACACAACAATTTGGTATGTAAAATAAGATCGACTTTAACTGTATACTGTAAAATCCTGATCAGTTGGTATGTGTGAGTTTGTAGCCAATATGCAATTCAAGTTGTGCTTAGTCGTGACTGCTAAAGTAGCATCTAATCCAACAACAGGGATTCGTGCATTAAACTGACAAAAAAAAATGTCCCTTCCCACCTAAAATTTTGTTGAGATGCGAAGCTAACCAAGTGATTTTTTTTTTATTTGGCCTAATGTGTTTATTGACATTAGTTATTAATGTTTTGTTTCAAAAATATAGGCCTTTAAGTATATTTTTGTTTATGATACACTTGAAAAAGGAATAAAGCCTCGTAATAGAATACCAGAAACCTTAAATTGTGTGTAAGAACAGTTTTTACTTCATGTATTATACAGTAAAAGCCAAATATAGTCACTGAAGTTGAACTATGACAATTTCAACTGTTAAAAAAGGTCTTTCCTTAGCATTTTTATTATTATATTAATTTATTTTCTTTATTAGTTGTGGAATTTTATGACCCGGATACACTTAAAAACCTAGCGGATCTCACTATACGCGATGATGGGGAAAGTGATGAAAAAGTATTAGAACACTGTAGAAGTGCTTTTAAATATGCAGTCAAACCAGGTATGTTAGATCAATGTTCTTTACATTATGGAAGACTAGAAATTTCAATACTGCAAACAATTTATTGTTGTTATCAACATTATCAATCATTTTCACCATGATTTTCATCATCTTTATCACCATAATTATTTTTCATTATTACAGTCATCATGACCATCACAATTATTCCCTTTTGAGGCCCTGGTGTAATTGGGCATTATGTTTATTCTAGCATTTGCAAAATTCCACATTGCTTTTTCTCTGCTATCAATTTTTTGTGTGTATGTAGCACTCATTCCTCTTTCAAGGAGTTTATTTCAATTTATATACATAGGCATCTGGCCCTTATATTTCTTAAGTTGTTAAACAGTTTGTGTTGCCAGAAAATGACTTCTTTGTATAATTTAAATACAAATAATTTGAAACTTCTTTTGTTAAATTTGTATTGCACTAAATAATTAAAATTTGTTGACATTTTGGAAAGTATAATAAAATTTAGGTAAATAAGTATTTGTGGACAAATTAAATGAAAGTGATACTTGTCTTTGATTGAACTTAAATTACACAACTTGCATACACAATTCTTTGTTCCATCTGCCTATTTCGATTTCAAGTTCTAAGACTCCTAACCGAAACTTATTGACAATATTTCTATGTTTAATATCTTTAATGAATGATGACTAATCTCAATTTTTGTTTTGAATAACTTAAAATATCTAAGTTTTGATTATAAATAAAATGGTTAAAAATATTTATTTTTCTATATCAATCAGCCTTACTGTAATTAAAATTTTTCAATAAATTGTTTTCCATTTTCAATTTTCTGATTTATCCAAACATAACCGAAGCCAGTGGAGCTAAGTAATGATTTAACTTTTCTACCCCAGCAGGGTTCATCTCTATCAACTTTTTTTAACTGAGAATTATAACATTTAAATGTAAATTTATTTTTATCGCTTTCTTTAATTTTTATTCAATATCGGACAGTAGAATTTAAACATTTGATATGTACGCACATTCTACCTAGTTCCACAATGCTAGCAATATTAAGGGCGCTGTTTTCTGTTCCTAAAACAACTTTTGCAAATCGTGTATGGAAGCGTTTAATTGTATTATATTCCGAATCACCCCATATTTCACTTCCATAAGTTAGAATTGGTATTAGTTTCTTGTCACAAATTTTGTTCCAGATATTTGGTGTAAGATACTTTGTATTGTTGTAAATAAATGTTTGTAATTAAAAAAAATGCATTATTTGGTTTTTGACAGTTGTGCTTAACAGCACTGTTCCATTGACCAAAATACAACTCCTAAATAGACATATGATGGAGTAACTTCCATTTAAGTGTTTTTATTTTTACAATTTTTCAATTTGCCTTCTTTTTAGTTCCTATGCATGTAATGCAATAGGAACTATTGTAATCACTTTTCACTGTTTTCCTTGTGTGTAGTGTGTGCGTGCGTGTGTATGTAGACATTTATGCAAATGCGCATGCGTAAAAAAAAAGTTTTCTGACATTTTGTTTTTCCTCGCGATGCGAAGTTTGATGTGAAGTTTCTGCAGTCAGGGCTCACGCTAATCGATCGGCAAGTCGGCATGGATAAAACTATTTTGGTTTTGCGGCAAAAAAAAATCAACTGCTGTAGGCATAGACTATCTAGCTTAGGCTTTCCACGAACACATGAGGCCTAGTTTAGTACAGTAGTTACTGCGATGCGAGGGTGGTAGATCGTTTAATCAATGATATCGTGTTATCGTCTAATACATAAAATACATTTAAATAATGTGTGTAAAATTTAAGAATGCACCGCGTGGGTCGCTTTCTTTGTTATGCGGTAGTATACGTAGCAGAGTAATGGCAGCAAGGCTAGGCCTAGCCTAGGGCCTAGATTGTGTACGTTCTTGATCATCGTGATGAAAACTTCGGGTGACAGACGATTGGGCCCAACTGGTGTGGACGATCGGGGCCCAAGCTATTTTCAAATAAATTGTAGTCTAGTAGGTAACTGCCAGCTCCCCCACTCCCAATATCGTTCCAAACTACTGTAAAATGAAAATACTGTATACCTAGCTAGGCCCTAGGCATACGAAATTTTTTCGAAGAAATTTGCTAAAAATATTACTGTAATTTGCATTACCAATGTGGTCTAAAATCACTATTTTGGGCCTTAAAGACCCCTGAATTTTTCAACCACCACACAAATTTGACCCAACCATATTTTCTGATTATGTCATTTATGATGAAGCAATTACCCACCATTCAACGCTACATACAGGTACCAAAACCACATGTTTGGAAGTCAGGAAGGTCGGAAAAAATAGGAACATTTTCTTTTTTTAAATTATACAAAAATACCTTGACTAAATTAAATAAATAAGCTCAGTGTTTTTAATACAAATTAATATCAATATTAATATTAATTAATATGTTTGTTTACTAATTTGCTACAAATTATGGAGAGAGGCCTAGCTAAAGTTAGCAAAGAGCTGCTGCTAGGCCCAGCTAAACCACCACTGAACAGTCAGCCAATAGTGATATGGAAGATTAGGTCGGTCTATCCATGAAACGATTTTCTTAGCCCATTATGAATCGATATTTAATATATTAGTTTGTCTTGCATAACATTTATAATTGATTCTTCAACGATTTCTATAAATGTTTATTGAACACTTAAATGCAAAATTAAGCCTAGATATTGGTAGGCAGGCCTAGTTATAGGCTACAACTTGGCATTTTTAAACTTGAGGGCGCTATTCTTACGAACTTCTCATTTACAAATTTTCTCAATTACGAACTGCTTTCAGCCCAAGGTGTACGTAAATGGGAAGGTCGACTGTATGTCATTTATAATGACTTAATCATAAAATATGGTTGGTTTAGTCATGTGTCATGCATAGGAACGTTGATGCCTGCAAGGCTTTGGTTTGAATACCATTATTTTTGATTTATTTAAATTTACAGAGACCCTAATGAATCACAAAAAAATTCAAGTTTATTTAAAAGATTCTGTACACTCTTCACTGTATCGCCAATTAAAAGCGAATCATCTGCATAAAGATGGTTAATATAATGACTTTAGATTTGTATTTTAACACTATTTTTGCTTTGATTAAGATCAAAATTTAAATCATTCATAAAAATGTTACAAAGTATAGTAGATAAAGGTGATACTTGTTGTATAGCGATGGAGCATTCAAATGGAAGTGTTAGCATATTATTTGTTGTAACACAAGCAGTTAATTGCTTGTACATAAAATAAATAATATCATACATCTTACTGTTTACTCCTATTCTTTTTAACTTAAGTAAAAGAAAATCATGATTAATGCTGTCAACCGCATGCTTCAGACCAACATAGCAACAAAATAGACTTCCCCTTTTTTTACTTATTTGGATAGAATGATAAAAATATTGTTAAGTGTGCAAAACCCTTTCTGAAAGCCCAATTGCTCTTGAAATATGGTATTATTACTCTCTACAAATTGTGTTAGTCTGACATACTCATGAACATTTTACCTGTAATTGGAATTAGAGAAATGCCTCTATAGTTTTTCTGGTTTTTTTCTGTCATTTTTTTTTTGTATATTGGGGTTATCATACTTGTAGCCCATTGTGCTGGGAAATGCCTTATTAGATATGCTAAGTTAAACAATAGTTTTAATTGGTAAAATAAAATTTGGTGCATTAATCAAATACTCAATCGTCATCCCATCGATTCCTGGCAATTTACTTTTTGTGCTTTAATGCTTGTTGTACTTCATTTAGAGTAAAATCAAATTGATACCTTCATCTTCAATAAAGAGATTATTTTCTATATCATGCATAATTTGATGTTGTGTTGGTGGTTCAAAAAGGGATTTAAAATGTTTTTGGCACTTGGCTAAAGCAAAATTCATTAGTCGTTAATGTTATTGCCTTCATCGGATCAAGTCATTATGAATGGCCACATTGTTTTAAAGACAAATAAATCCAGAAACACAAAAGCTAATGTTTATGTTATTAAGCAGGCATGAGCGAACCTACTTGCCCAACGCCCGGGACAAGTTTTTTTTTTACGTTCGGACAACAAGAATTTTAGGGACCACTCTTAGAATAGGCTACATCACGTTGTAATGCGCATTGATTTCACAGTACTTATAAGATTCTGACTCTTGACAATACGTACAGTAGCATATTTTATTAACAAATTGTCAGCACACAAAGAGGTATAAAAAAAAAAACTGACTAGGCAATGGTTACGCACCACACTGCGTAGATCAACTTTGAGTCGCCAAGAATCCCACAATTTATGGACGGTTTAAAAGAAAAAATGTAAGCCTAACTCAATATAAAATTTTTTATTTTCTGCAGTAAAGATTGAAAATGAATTCTTAATTGTTAATTGTTAGCCAGTTCTGTTGTAAGACCCACAGCAGGCACATATTTTCGCACGATATTGTACCTGTTGGCCGTCAGCCGTCTGGACTATAGGCCTGCTGCATGGTCTATTTACAATATAAATTCCCACTGGTCTAGTCTATAAATACCAGACGTATTTAAAGACTTTTGGCGCACAGCCATTAATTAATTAGTTGAGTTGGATGACATGAAATGTCTGGACTTCAAGACTAGTAATTACTTTTGAGTACGAATATGAACAGCAGTCATTAGGCCGACTTCAAAAAGGCCTAGTCTATTTCATTTGCACGTGTGGGGAAGGCAATCTAGACAGACTAAGAAAGGGTAGTTAATCGGGATTGGTTAAAGTAATTTAAAAAATCATTCACTTCTAAGTTAAAACTGGAGTTAAAAATTGAGGGTTTAAGGCCTATAAATGAATAATTTTCCCATCTCAAAAATTTCACTGTCTTGGAGATTCTCAGGAAGGGATTCGTCCCATCCTCAGAGTTTTATTAGGCCTACAATGCTTGTATTTCGTTAAAAAGTAAGCAATTTTATTATTTTGCAATAAATGGAATGAGGATGTGTGTGGCTGTAAAATATTTCCCGCGTAAAATATTAGGCCAGAAATCTGTTACCAAATTTCGAAAATATGAGCCGATTTCCACGGATATTTTGCAGAAAATTGATGCAGTTGTGATGACGACGGCCTTAAACACGCAATAAGGAAAAGATCAACACACTCCTACATACATATTAATAATGTTTATTTCATTGGAATTTCTCCATACTATACATTATTGAAATCCTTGCAAATAAAAAAAAAATAAAAAACTTTTTGCGTGATCAATGCACTATGCATGTAGGCCTATTAATGTTGTAGGTCTATAGCAAAAATATTTTACTTTTGTGTTTAAAATATAAGCTTTATATATCGCTTTATGTAATAATTTGAATCTATTTTCAGCAAGCCCTCATTTTTTCAATCAACTTTTTGCTGGGCAAGATTTATATGGATTAGCAGGTCAGTGGTTAACAGATGCTATCAACGCCAGCCAGTAAGTGATTTTTTTCTGTTTACAATTAATATTGTTATTTTTGTATAGTGTAGTATATTCAGCAAAACAAGATCACTGTAAAAATACTTCATGATATAAAATGTTTTAAAATATTCTTTGAATTATACAACATACATGAACTGTTCAACTTTTATATATATTACGTGCTGTACGCTCATTTCCACGCCCACAGCACGTACTGAAGCTGGAAATTACGTTTCGGTTACATGCTTTGGGTTTGTGACACTGTATTGATATCATTACCGTGCGCACGGACGTTAAGACGTATGTGTACACATTCGTAAGTTCTTAAAATGCTCAAAATTACTCTTTTTAAAAACTAAATAGAGCATGTTTTAGTATGTTTTAGCATATAATACCTTTTCAATCAGAACAGCGCGTGCTTCGTGAGGGTCAAAGTACGGCGGATCACCAAACTCGTCCTCAGTGACGAGTTCAAATCTAGTATGAAAATATATAATTATCTATTTAAAACATTTCATTGCATAGCTAAAACAGTATATACAAAATGTGTAAACATTATTTGAATGAATGACTTGTTAGGTGGTAAATTTTTACCAAAGTGATATATTAAATTAATAATGACACAGATGACTGAATGTGCTGTGAAAGGTGGTTTAAGCTACTAAAAAGTACTACCTAAAATCGGCAAGGGATTTTTCCAGGGGTGCATGCTATCAAACCACACAAAGGGGAGTAGTTTCAAAACAAAAGTTTTCCAATTGGCGAATTTATTGCACTCTTTTTTTCGCTTCGCAAAAAGTAGAAACAGTTCAAACTACAAATCTCGCTGAAGCAAAAACTCTGATAGAAATGTGAATGCGCATGGGCATGAATTGACACTTTCAACTTGCATGAATAAATTCGCAGGTGGAAAACAGGTTTTAACTCAATGTTGAGCTACAGTAATAAACTTCAATAATTGACTGCTTCCTTCGTAAAATATATTTGAAATAAGAAGCTACATTTCTTGCAAATTAAAAAGACGTATAATACTGTTCCTATACTTTTGCATGGATCTTTAAATTGACTGGTATTTAATGTAAGAATATTTTAGGTAAAAATTCTGCAAATCAAATAAAACTGAATTGCTTTGATCTGCTGTATGTGCGTGACCTCTGTGTTGGAAGTTGACAGCCTATGATCTGTGAGTGAACAAATAAATATTTTAAATAATGTTTTTATGGTTTCCTCAAGTTACCACAGACACTCTTTACAATATTTAATGACACAGCTGACTGAATTTACATATCATATCGGTATTATAGGCTAAATATGTTTTCCCACATGGGATTAAATTCACATTACAAATGTGAAATGCATCATGAGCATAAATTTTTTGTCATTCTAGGCTGGAAAAGCGTAATTGTGCAACTGGCAGTCAGTGGCATTGCGCATTTCCTCTGCTTTCTCCAGACAAAAATTATTGGGCATTTGGTCCTGGAGAAATTTTATCATGATAATTTTTATAGTCAGAAAAACAATATTTTTTTTCCAAGCCTTTCTGTCTAGACACACTATTTATATGTAGGTTGGCAGATGATGAATAATTTGCTCATGAGCTGTTACCTTTTAAAACAAAATTAAATGTTCAATAAGAGAGATTATTGAGTGATGCATTTTTCTAATATTTGTTAATTTTTATTTAAGGTACACATTTGAAGTTGCTCCACTTTTTACACTTATTGAACATGAAGTCTTTGCTAAATTTCGAGAACTCTGTGGCTACAAGTCAGGAGATGGCATATTTTGTCCAGGTTAGTATTGATTCTAAGGACCATTTTGGTTTTTGGCTACTTTATTGACAAAACTGTTTTAGGTCACTTTGAACAAGAAGGAAACTTATCAAAACATGGGCATTTGCCTAGTACTGTAATAGATAAGCATCAATATCTTTGAACTGTGGTCTTTTGTGCTATGAAGCCATCTACCTGATTGAGGTCATTATATGAAGCCTGGTTTCTATAAAATCACTACATGCTATCACCGACAGCTGTTGGCAACTCTAATTGGTTGGTCGAATCGGGGAACCTTCCTAATTGTGTTGGGGACAAGTATGTTGTGTAGCGATTGCTGTTTTATTAAAAAAAATGCTGTTTTATAGAAACTAAGCTTAACTGGCATATGTCAGCTCTTAATTCTTTTATAACATTCTATTATTGCAAGAGAGCTTGCATGATATAGAGAATCTCTGAAGTACATCAGATGATTGGCCTTTTAATGTTAGTTCTTTAAAATATATGTAATGTTTGTAGAAAAGTTGAAAAAAGCAAGTCTTTTTAGTTCACTGTTATGACCACTTTTATTCTATGCTCTCTTAATTCTACAGTATTATTCTAACATTATTTTATTATGTGTGTGATGTTATCAATTGACTGCCTTTACTATGTTATTATAATACTAAAAAAATAGTTCTATTATTTGTGAGTTGAGCTTTTATATTCTTGTCATCAGATGATCAACCTTTACTATTATGAAATACTAGTGAGTTGTTAGGGGTCATCAGATATCTGTCAATGTACTCTGGATCAAGCATACCTAAGATGGCTTTCTATACCAATCCT